TCTGTCTCAATCTACATACTCTGTCCCTATGTCTGTAAAATCATCGGTTGTCTGTGATTTTAGAGCTCAGTCAGTTAAAGCACAGAGCTAATGAAGTCTAAGTCATGGGTCCAGTCTCATTAAGGGCCAGTTTGCTCTGATCTGGTTCTCTGTCCCAGATCCCAACTTGCTGTGTTGCATATTTATGACCTTGGTCACAAGGCTGACCTGGCCAGAGAGGGAATAGAGGAATGCAAATCACCACAGCTACTAGCAAAACAAGCACAAGCCTTGTGAATAGGGGTAAGATGTGTCTTCTGTTATACAAAGGAAAGAGTTTTGTTTTGACTTTTTTTTAAAGAACGAGGCACCCATGGAAGGTAAATAGTAACATTTGGGAATATTGCGTGTTGGACCATTGGCTGACTATGCCAATAACCTCTGCGAATTGGAACATAGAAGCAAGGCAGCTAGTCTGGCTATGACTCACTTAAAAATAGAGGATACTAAGTAGATAACTTATTTGTTAAAACTGACCATGTTTTTCTCATGGTAAATAATCATGGCCTAACACTACTTATTTTGTTCTGATGGTAGCATATTTTCAATTTAAAAGTAATCTGTGAATGCTTCTTCTGGGACTGTAAGATTCAACCATAAAGCTAACACAAACAGCAAGATAAGAGCAAAATTTAAAATAATGAGGTAATGTGTTTTGTTGTTACAGATGATAAAGCTTTTAATAACAATCCTGTGAAAATCTGCATATCAACAGATTAAATCTGCATATAAACATCAAGAATCTGTTTTTGTGACTAGAGACTGGTAGTGATATAGATAGTCCCAAAAGGTGAATATTCATCGAAGTACTAGTGGATCACTGGGTGGAGAAGGAAGGAGTTGGGGATGGTAGAGAGGTAAGAGAAGATATTTTTATTTGATAGTATAAGAGATAGGTTCCAGTTTAGATTACAAATTTCTTTTTCTTTTCTTTTCTTTTTGGTACCATACGGGGGTTGGAACTCAGGACCTGGCACTTTCAAGGCAGGCACAGTGAGGTTACAAATTTCTTGAGGTAAATCCTTTAATTGAAATCCAACCATAAAGATACAATTGACTATAGTTATATATTGTGAATAGATTTTTTTTTTTTTTTTTGCTTTTCTCAGTACTCGGGATTGAACCTAGGGCCTTTGCTATATTCCCAACTGTTTTCTTTTTTAAATTTTGGGACAAGTTCTTCCTAAGTAGCTAAATTGCCAGTGCTGGCTTTGAACTTTCAGTTCTCCTGCCTCAGCCTCCCAGAATGCTGGCATAACAAATGTGGGCCGCCACACCCATCAAATTTACCATCAAACCAAGCCATCTCTCTCTCTCTCTCTCTCTCTCTCTCTCTCTCTGTCTCTCTCTCACACACACACACACACACACACACACAATCATGTTCTCCAAAGAATATAAGCTCCATGAAAGGATTCTGCTGTATTCACATTGCCTAGAAAAATGTGGGGCACAATAAATAAATATTTAAATGGAGTCTTGTTGTAAGGCAGATTTAAAATGCAAATATATTCTCTGACTACATTTCAGTTGAAGTTAGGGCCATTTTGTATTAATTGATGTCTTGAAATCAGGTTTTGCTTCAGGGACAATTTAGTAAAAAACGAATTTAAAATACGAACTCCTGGAAAGACATGGTCTAAGGAACAGAGCTGGGAATAGGGTGCCATTGGCCACCTCCTTTGATGAAAGTATAGGGTACAGGTTGTGTGCTAGTGAGCAAACCTCCTTGCTAATTCTGTAGCCTCAATGGCAAATGTCCTTCAGTTAGAACGCATTGCAAAGTAAATGTTTTGCTTTGGGTTTTCTTTCACAAACACTGTTACTTGTGGGAGATAGAGCTATTACTGCATTCCTTGGGTGTGAAGTAGCTCTCTAAAAACTAAATTTTTATTTTAACCTTTGAGCTTCTCCTCCCCCTTCAATTAAGTTAAACATAAATTCTGTTAAATTATGAGATAGTTATGCTTTAATGCTTAAGTGTTTGGGTTCTCAACTAGATTTTGGGGTTCCACCACCAAAACTAGGCAAGCCACTAGTTTCCTCATAAGTATAAAAATCATTCCTGCCTCACAGGGATGGGTAGGAGGATGAAATAACACATTTAGCACAGGGCCTGGCCACAGTCAACAGTCGGTAAATATTTTTAAACTATTTCCATTTCTCCATCTGTCCTCTTCGTCGATATATGTTTATTTGTGTGTGGATATTCACCCATATGACACACATGTAGGAGTATATACATGTATGCATAGCTGAAAGGGGTTTATAGATCAAGCTCAAACCTCTTGTTTTACCCATGAGCACATATGATGGTCACATTCGTGTTCTTTCTGTCATTCTCAAAGCAGTGGAGTGATCTGGTTAGCGACAGATATAGTATTCAGGGCTGAGATCCCTAGTCTGGAGCTGCATTCTTTCTACATTTCTTCTATTAAAAATTATTTGATTTAAATAATCTCATATAGAACCATTTCCTCTAAGTATAATGGAATGTTCCAGAGGCTTTTTGGATCTCATTAAATTATATTACCATAATGTGGTTTATTTTCCTGATTTCTTCATTAATTAGGAAGTTTATTCACTTAAAGGAGCCTATTTGATAATGAAATCCTAGTAAGCTTCTAAGCAAAGAATCTGCTATGTGAAACAAATTCTCAGATACTGATTTAAATAATACATAATCTAATATTAGAGTTCCTAAGCAAGGACTGAAGCTGTTTTTACCCCATCACTGACTCACAGTAAGATCTTGGGCAAGTCACTTGACCTTCTTATATTTCAGTGTGTCAAACTAGCCATGAAACTGTTTAAAGCATGATCTCATTACAAACCACTGGACTTGAAAGCTAAGATGTCCTTTGATATGTTAAAGAATCACCAAAAGAGAACCCTAGTTTGTAAAACATGAAGAATCAGGAAAAGAAATTTTACTATAATTAAAATAATTCAGAATGTATAGATTTTAGCAAGTAAAGTCATGAAATAGTTTCAAAATATTTTATTTGGGCAAAATAAGACAGAGGAAAACTCATTTTTAGAGAATGACTGGTTTTAAAAACTACAGATTGTAGCAATTCAACCACAATAAGAAACACTTCTACAAACTGGAGGATTTTTACCCATTTCATTTCCAAGCCATTATCTCCTTCTTATACACTGCACACTATGTTTTAGAAAGCATTTTTGATGATTACTTTATGAAAACCCTGGCAGAAAGAATACAAATTCATTTAGGAACAAAGCAGTTTTAATAATGAGTTTGGACCTTTAGACTTGTGAATTTTCTTTCAGGTGACATCATATTGGTCCGTTATTTCCTCTGGAGAACAGGAACACTATTTTGTGGGGGGTAGATTTGTGAATACTGTCTTGCTGATCTGTAGAGGAAGGCAGCATTGTTGCCTAGTTTACTGTGGCAGCTGTCTCTAAATTAACAGGAGGCTCACCCCTTCTGTGGCATTCCAGAAGGAACATCAGTACGCACAGTTCCCCCATGCTGACATCTTGTCTGAGGTTATCCTACCAAGTTCTGTGGCATATGCAATGTGCCTGGACATTTTCTATCCTTTGAAAACACCTTTCTGCAGACTTGGTCAAGGCCAGAACGCAGCAAAGCCCTTTCTGGCAGAGCATGTTAATCTCACACTTTGTCACAGTCTCTGAAATAATAAGTAAATGATAACCTACAACTTGCTCTGGCCCTGTAAACAAAACATTAAGTTCTGTGTTCTGCCTTGGCAAGAAAAGAAACTGCAGCATTTTAGTAAGATTTTTTTCAAGTCCTGGGTTTCAAATTAAAAACTGAAATTGTTCTTTTTCTAATTTACAGAAGATGAAGAACAGTAGTAAAGTTAATGGTTAAAATATTATTTTTACAGGAATATAATTAAGAGAGGTTAAAAATACAGTCTAACTCTTTACTAGAGGCACTTGACTGTGTGTTTCAGCTGTAGTCTAGGGGATCCTCAGTATCTTTTTCCTTGTTTCTACGGACTTATGAATAAAGATTTGGACTCCTCTCAGGACAGTAAAATTACGAAAAATTTAAGGCATAGGTATTAAGGACTATAGAAACTGCACTGATTATTACAGTAACCCTGGAACCAGGATGAATAGTATTTGCCGTAGGAAAAAAGGAACAAAACAGTAGGGGAGAAATATTTAGTTACCCTAAAAAATTATTCAGTGGAAATGTAAAAACACTAAGTTGATTAAGCATATGAACACGACACGGATTTAGCAACTGAGCCTATATAATATGTCTGAGAGTTCTCCGAAATCTGAAAAGCAACTATCTGCGCACTGCAGACCCGTCCCCGCGGCAGCTGAGGGTGTGCACTCAGTCCCCCTGTGCCTACCTCCTCGCGTCGGCCCCAGCCCCAGGGCCACCCGCAGCATCTCCGGGAAGAACCTGCTGGGGACCCAAAAGGCTAGGGGCCAGCGCAACCCGCGGTCCGGGACACGGAGGTGGGAGGGGGTCACAAGGTGGG